CTGGCCGCATCTCTGCGCTCTAGCCTAGTACTGTTTACGATATCTGACAATCTTTTCCAGGTTTGATATTCACAACTATGTGAGAGAGTTGCAAGATGCCGTTCTGGCTAGATTCAAGTACCCCGTGCAGACGGTGTGTCGAGCGTTTCCATCCCAGGAAGCTGCTGAGCGTTTTGTCGCAAGACTACAGAAAGCAGATCCCGCAGTATCGGCGCACATGGCGCGGTTCCAGCTTCCTCGTGAGGCACTTCCTGAGATGGCAAATTGGGCCGCGTTCTCAGTCGTGTTATTTCAGGAAAATCACGAAGAGGTTGCGTTCGAGTTCTGGGAATGGTTCGGGGATGGCATCTCCAGCAGACATGCCGAGTTCTGCGTATCTCTGTTCTCCTTTATGAATTCTGATTCCAATCACTCTGAATATCGGACCGTGGGTCCAGCTTCGCATGATCTGAGTGCCATGGCCATTCCAGAATGGATTGACTTCTCTACCCAAGACAAAATGGATATCAAGTCTAGGCTTGCCGGCTCAGCGACGTCAGCAGATCCAGCCTTGAAACCCGTCGGGAATGACGATGTATTTCTCTATGCAACTGGGATGGCTGCAATCAGTGCCATTGCCCGCACGCTCGCTCGGACATCGGAGGACTCTGGCGCTGTGGTGTACGGGTGAGTTAATAAGAATCATCTTGCACAAGGTAATATGCTGACGAAATGAAAGGTGGCCGTACTCCGGTACTCCTCATTGCGTGCAAGGCTGTGGGTTCAAGCGTTACACCATGTACGGCCATGGCTCGAAGGAAGATCTCGACACACTCGAGTCCTCGCTGATTTTAGGGACTCGATGCACGGCGCTGTTCTGCGAGATCACGTCCAATCCTCTGTTGTCTACGCCGGATTTGCATCGCATCCGAGCTCTCGCCAACCGATTTGGCTTCGTCGTCGTGTGTGACGATACACTCGGCACGTCCGTCAACGTGGATATCCTGCCATATGTCGACGTCATCATCACCAGCTTGACGAAGATCTTCAGCGGTGCAGGCAACGTCATGGGAGGGAGGTATGCATTCAACCTACTGGACACTCGCAGCTCGTCCTACTGATACTGACCTCTACAGCCTCATGATTAACCCCAACTCCCACCACTACAGCTCTCTCCGTGCCCATCTAAACAAAACCTACGAGGACCTCTACTTCCCTCTCGACGCAAAGACTATGGCGCGCAACTCCTCCGACTTCGCAGCCCGCGTGCACAAATGCAGCACGACCGCCCTGCAGATCGCCAATCTCCTCAAGTCCCATCCATCCGTCGAATCCGTCAACTATCCCACCATGGTCCCCACCGCGACTCTGTACGAGCAGTACCGCCGCCCCGACGGCGGATACGGATTCCTCCTCAGCGTCTTCTTCCGCAAGCCCGCGAGCGCGGTGGTCTTCTTCGACAACCTGGATGTGTGGAAGGGGCCTACTGTCGGTACGAATTTTTCGATTTCTATCCCGTATTCGGCGCTGGCGCATGCGAAGGAACAAGACTGGGCAGCGGCTCACGGGGTCCCGAAGCATATTGTACGGCTGAGCGTTGGGCTGGAGGATTATGGCGATTTGGCTGAGCGGGTTAGTCGGGCGTTGCAAGATGTGGAAATGCGAGAGAAATGAGTCAGAGGTGTTGATTTTGCAGCCATATACTATATAGTCTATAGCATTACAGAGTGCCTGATTTAGGAGTATATAAGGAAACAAACATAGGAATACATCGAGGTGATTGCATTACATTTGTTTTTCAGTCGTCAAACTTAAAGATGATGTATTTGCAATTGATCCAATGTCAATTCCTGTATTGTATTACATCACGTAACGATCACGTAAATTGATGATTAGTTCTCTAAAGGGAAAGATGAGCTCGGTACTAGGAGTTATGAGTACTGCCATGTATGACTGTTCCTGTCTCGTCACAAGTGGATCCGTGAAATGCTGTACTGTGGCATATAGCTTGTGAGGTACATCCATGAACGAGGCACCCTTTAAGCCATCGCGGTTAACGAACCAGGTCTGCTGCTTAGTATCGCGTCTACTAGTTGTCATTATACAAGGCATCACGACTCATCAAAGTTTACCAGAGCCAGCAAAAGTAGTCCAAGCATCTTTGCAGGAGACCTTGACTAAATTCTGCTGAGATGACTAAGAAAGAGTCTGCGGTGGATGTGTTGATTATAGGGGCGGTAAGTTGCCTCGAACACAGAAGATCACATCCATACTTACTCTCTATAGGGCCCAGCAGGGTAAGGTTCTGCAGAAATCTCTTCGTGGGAACACAGAATCCATGATAGACCAGTACTGACGGCTCCCAGCCTAATGGCCGCCATGTGGATGACAAAGTGCGGCATCACCACACGCCTTGTGGAGCAACGACCATATCAGCTTCGGGTTGGCGGTGCGGATGGGTAAGCCTGCACTCAGCTATCATCGGAATGGACACAGCTCACTCGAGGCACAGTATCCACCCACGCTCAATGGAGATGTTCGAGAGCTTCGGCCTCGATCAGGAGATCACGCAGGTATGGGAGCCCATCACAGGGTGGGCGCTTTGGTGTCGAAACGCCGAAGGAACTCTCGCCAGATCCGATCGGATGGATAATCCTACCCCGGTGCGCTGCAGGTAAGTTTGCTATTGGAACTTGTCGAGCGGGTATCTCATGATGCACATAGATGGGGTCCGGGACTGCTACAACAGGGCATCATTGAACGGATCATCAAGGAGCATATCTCAGAGCAACCTTTTGTTCGGATCGAATATGAAACCGTGCCGAGCTCACTTGTTATCAATGAAGACGCGCTGGATGATTCAGACAGTCATCCCTGTGTGCTTAGTCTGCGCCATGATAACGGTGCCGAGGAGCTCGTCCGGGCGAAATATGTCATTGGGGCAGATGGAGCACGCTCGTGGACCAGGAAGCAACTGGGATTCAGGATGGAGGGGACGCGGACTCGATCCGTCTGGGCTGTAACGGATCTAGTCGTTGTGTCGGACTTTCCAGAGTAAGTTGACAGCAATCCAATTTGAGCTGGAGGTCACTGATGTACTTCCAGCATCCGGATGTGCACTACAGTCAACAGCTACGGCGAAGGAGGACTCTTCTTCCTCCGGCGGGAGCGCGGCCTGACCCGTTTCTACGTCCAGCTCAATCGCGCCGATGAGGAGGAGTTTCCTGCTGCGTCCATTACGCAAGAGCTCATAATTCAGAAACTACGGAGCCTGCTGAGTCCTTATACAGTGAGTGATTCCGAATGAGATAGCAAAATTGCGCTAATCATGACCTTTGTAGTTTACTGTCAAGCGTTGTGAATGGTGGGTTATAAGCTTATTATGTCGCTGTTGTGACTTCTACTAACCACCAAAGAGTGTAGGTGGTCAAGCTATACTGTAGCTCACTATCTAAGCAATGGCATGACCAAGCATGATCGCGTCTTCCTCGTGGGTGATGCTGTGCACAACCACTCTCCCCTGGTTGGTCTAGGCATGAACATCAGCATGCAGTATGTGCCTCTTTCTCTATTGACTGACGATTTGCAGCTCCCATACTAATGCTACACCAAGAGACTCCTACAATCTGGGATGGAAACTCGCCGGGGTGCTCAAAAAACAATTGAACCCAGCTATTCTATCAACCTACGAGACAGAGCGACGTCCTGTTGCGGAAGAACTGATTGAAACCGATCGCTTTCATCTGCAGCTCTTCGACGCGGTCACTGTAACAGGCTCAGAGCCGGCCTGGATGCAGGAGCGCGAGGAGGCTTTACAGCCTTCCATGCAAGGCTTTGCCGTCCACTACCAAGACCCGCTTCTTACCGCAGCAACGGAAAAGGAACACAGGCCTGACGCTGTGACACCGGGGAAGCGCTTCCCGCAGCTGACCGTGTCTAATCATGCAACAGGGAAAGTCTATTCGATACAATCACTTCTCAAAAGCGAAGGAAGATTTCACGTCATTGTTTTTGCTAGAGACCTCTCCCAGCCACAGGAGCTGGATCGATTCAACACCTTTGGCACTGCGCTGGAGCAAATCGAGGAACAGATTGTCCCGGCCTCGATGGGAAAGTTCAATGTGATTGCCGTGCACCGGACCCACAAGACGGCGATTGAGCTTGCGAGAATGGCAAACATTTTCTTCCCTGTTGATGAGCACACGGGACGAGACTACAACCGGGTCTATTGCGACATGGAGACGAGCTATGAGGAGGCTGGGATCAGCGAGCGGGGCGCGGTTGTGCTGGTTCGCCCAGACCAGTATGTGGGATGGTGTGGCGAGCTGCAGGATGTTGCAGGATTGACACGCTATCTGCAGCCTATTTTTGAGGTGAAGCAGCATGCATAGCTTGAGATCAGCAAGAGCGAGGTCATCAGCTGAATTTGACCCACTGTATCTTTTCAGTGGCCGATAAAATACATGCTAAAAATCAATAGCGCTAGGTAGTCAAAGATCGAGACTCTTTTTCAGCTTGTGGCGGGCCGATCCTCAACCAAGTCTTTAAGTGCAGCCATAAATACAGGACGAATTTTCATACCAATGCAGGACTAATGCCGATTCTACTCAAGACCGTATTACGTAGCATCTCCATCCCTGAGACCTATCAATCGGCCTGTCTCAAAAATCCAGTTTAGTGAAGATATCAAGTGCAAATACCCCGTATTGCATTAGCCAGAGAAATTGAGTGCAAGTATTTACTGATCAAAGCTTCCAAGACACGCATGGCTGTACAGTGACCCCAGTTGCAATGTAGACCAGACCCGCTGGCGTCAATCCTCAAGCAGTGTAAGTAAAAGTTGTAACTATAATTATTGTATGTGCTTACATGTTCAGAAGAATTTTCAATAATTAATTTACTGAATACTCAGTGCAGCCATCACTACGGAGTACATAGTTATATGTAGCTCTGAAGAAACACTCCTGGCCGCTGTCAACCCCCATCTGCACAGAAGAGATATCGCCTCATCCCACACCATAATGTACGAGAGCATTATTCCCTTCCCAGATCAAACCGCAAGCACAGTCGACAAGTACTGCTGCTCCCATTCCACAAGTCTCCCACCCCTCTTCGCCGAGCACGCAGCATGGACAGTCGAAAAGTTCCAGACCTCGTATATGATGTGCTGTCCGCTCCAGGCCCAAATGTGCATCTTTCTCGCGAGCGACCGCCGCGCGAGACGGGTGCTCGAGATCGGGACGTTCACGGGATACAGCGCGCTGGCGTGGAAGGAGGGGATGAAGGCCGCAGGCGGGGAGGTGTGGACGTGTGAGGCCGGTCCTCGGGCGATTGCGGCAAGCAAGGAAGCGTTCGCCAAGTATGATCCGGAGGGAAAGATTCATCTGATCGAGGGACCTGCGCTACAGACGTGAGTGAGCCCTGAACTTTAGGACAAATACAGCTAAGGTATGGTGAAGGTTGCGAGAGATCAATGCTGCGCCATTTGATATCATCTACGTCGACGCTCGGAAGGCGGAGTATATCGAGTACATGGAGATTATTCTGGAGAGGAATCTTCTGGCGGAAAATGGGATTATCCTTGCGGATGACAGTATGTATCCCCTGTCACTGCTCTGTATAGGTCGTGGAGTAATGGATATGACAGCGATCCATCTCGGGCTGGTGGCAGATAGATCTCCTACGAACCCCCATTCGGCGCGGGAGGACATTGAATACAGCCTTCAGCATGCCGATAATGTGCATGAGTTCAACGAATGGGCAGTCAAGGTATGCTGTCTCCAGGGCAGAGTTCCAAGAACAATACTAACAAGGTCGTCTAGCATCCTCGACTGGATGTCCTCTTGCTTCCAATTTTCAACGGGGTGACTATGATCAAAATCAAGTCGTGATCCAAAAAATTGGCCAAACCTTGAGAAATTGAATTATTAATTCTGAAACCGTAAGCAAAAGATGATTGTGACCTATCTCCTGTAGTTCCCTTAGTAACGAGGCATGGGTTGCATACGAGGCGTAGCTGAGCGGTAGTAGGATTTGAGCCAGGATATTGCATACCAATTTTCATCCCATTTTCCCTGCAACTTACATGTGGCAGGTATTAATTGCAAAATACCACTCTTTTCAATTGCAATTTTGGTCCCAGGATGCCCCACGCATGGGAATCCCTACTCATTATTTCCACCCAAGATCCAGTGATCCATCACCCACCATTCCTTTAGTCAGGCCCTTGATACCTTGGGAGAGGAACTGTACTTTGAACATCTCAAGTGTAATAAGAGTATATTATCCATATGAAAGCTGGATTCATTGCGTCCTTCTTGAATCTCTTTAAGCACTCCATAAGACCTGATCTACCGTGAAACAATTACCGCAACCACTACTATGTACCAAATTTCTCTAAAGGCAACGAAAAGCGTTGCAGATCCAACCTCTTCAATTGACGCAGCTCATGGTGACCGTCTAGCGGAGCGCGATGCATACGATGCCGCAATGTTTCGCTTCATCAGCGACATGGAACTGTCCTCAATGTACGCGGAGGGGATATCACCACACCCCATTCTCATGCCGAGAAGCTTCATTGAACACCTGAAAGAATTTCAGCATCTGCTGTTTGTTGCTATATCAAACATCCTGGATCGATGGTGGGACGACAGTGAAGCCGACTTCCCCGGTCGCATGCCATTGGAACCGCACGAGGAGAGTGTATTGAAGGTCGGCACCCTCCTGTGTTCACTATGCCGCGAGCCTTACAATAACCGATATCTAGTGGGTACATGAACGGTCGAAACAGAGACTGATGCCGCACTACAATGAGCGCCCGCTCCACTGGAGGCCGGACCTGCTCCTCCCGGCAGGGGCAGATTCAAACACCAGCCTACCGTTCAAGATTTGCGAGATCAACGCTCGTTCCCCCTTCAACTCGATGATCAAGAGCGTCTGTATGTTTCATGCAGCGGCTGCAAGCGAAATAGCACTTCCAGATGGGTTAGAACTCGCTTCGACCGCGGACAAGATGGTGGACAGTCTGGTCTCGCTCTTCAATCCGGATCTCCCTCTTCATGTTATCTGGCATGAGGGTATCACTGACCCCATTGACGCGTTCAGTTCCTTCTACAAAAAGCGAACAGGCAAGACACCGCGAGTAATCCGTGCGACAGACCTGCGTCTCGTGCCGGATTCGTCATCCCAGACGGGTCGGATTCTGTGCTGCGTTGCCGCGGCCGGGTCCGCAGAATATCCAGACGGCCAGAGAATCACATCCCGGACAGGCGAGTCTCTGGAACGAATTCAACAAGTCGGACTCCAGCTGTCGCATCGGGATTACAGCTACATCCCTTCGGAAGTGCTACAGCAGCTCGCCGTAGACGGAATCTGCGACCTGCGCAACATCTTCCTGGTCAGCGACAAACGCATGCTCGGCATAATCCGGCAAGAGCTGGACGCTCTCGTGCACAAGCACCACATCTTAACGGCTGACCAGGCGGAGATCCTCCGACAGGGCATCGTGCATACCATTTTGCCCAGCTCCGAGGATATTCGACGCCTCTTGCAGCAGATTCGAGAGGGCTCCGTATCCAAGGACAGCTATCTTCTCAAACCTGCCCGAGGACACCGCGGAATGGGAATCTTGCTTGGAAAAGACTTGGGGCAGAAGGAGTTTGAGGGTCTCCTTGAGGAGCTGGCGGACCCATTACTGCCTGCTGACAAGCGATATGTTGTGCAGCCTTTTATTGAGCAGGCTCTATTTGGTTTGAGGCTGTATGATGATAGCGAGCCGCAACAATGCCGGATGACGGGAACATATCATGCCATTGGTGGCTGTTTCGCTGGGTTGGGCGTCTGGAGAGCTGACAGCGAGAGGATTTGCTCTCGATTCCACGGTGCCTCTAGCATTCCCGCGGTTGTCCCTCTGACATGAGTAAAATATTGACCCACGCAAATGGATGCATGTAGATATGAAACCACAATTTGAAAAGGCCTCAATCGCCCGACCTGCAAGCATCACATTCTCTTAGATTTTTCTTTTGTATCATTATCTTCCCCTTGTGTCTCACTCTCTGCCTTTGTCCCCCATCCATTCACCTATTCTAGGCTAATTAGTTCTAATTATATAACTAATTATATAATCATATAGCTGCATACATAACTAATACAGTGCATGTCATGGGGGCAGCCCATGACAATATCAGAACTTTCTATAGTATCAGATGTGTTCATCCAAGTCCAGTTGCTCTATAGTCGCTGAGCATCCAACTTCTCCGTTTCAATATTGTCCTTATTTCCATATGTCTTTTCTTGGGCCAAGCGTTCAAGGTGAAAGCACCTGCTATTGGGGAGCATAGCGATGGGAGCCCGAATTTGGGACGTCGCTGCCTTTCCGTCATGTGTTCAGTGAGCCGACTGGTAAATAGGCTATTTACCAGTAGGAGGATGATGGTATAACGAAGTCACGGTTTATAAAGGCTGCCTCTGCGAGACTAGAGTAAAAGTTTTCTAGCTATGGATGTGGGGGTATGATTTATGATCCGCAGAGTACTCCGTAATATACTGCTTAGAAAGAGTATATGGTGAATCCAGCAAACTCCCTGCAAAAATTACCCATATAGCTTTTCACTGCTCCTTAGCATTCCCTAACTACTGAATTTGGGGAACAATACATCATGAGGAGAAGTAGGCCTATAGGCCAAGGCTTTGGAGTTGTCTCATGACTCAAATATCAGGAAATGCTTAGGAGGGTGAGAAAACCATATTGTAGAATATCTATACACAATGAGGATGAATATATAAATGCATATCGGACTCTAAGCAGGGAAACTACGTAACAGGTTTTAGTGATCTTTATATCTTATCACCTCTTATGAACTTTAATTATGTATAATAGTTAAGCATTGTATATAAACACGCTTTACTCAGTATTTATCAGATAACATTAAGTTGTCCCTTTAGTGCTGTTATTCATGTTTTAATGATTAACGGAGGGCATATCTTCCTGTGAACATAATCAATTAGAGACTTCATCATGCAGTGTTAGGGCGTTCATTGTGAATGATATGCGTGTCATATGACTTGAGTGTCATCACATCACACCGTCATGGTCACCGGTCTATATTTCATCACTCTTTATTTCCCTCTTCCTTTTCTACTTCACCTCTCTCTCCAATGACTACTACCTCACAACCATGAGCAGCCCTCCAACTGTAAGTTATGATTTTAATTTTCCTAAATCTATGCGACCTCGTCTAATAGGATCTAGCTTCGAGAAGTCCCTGAAGGATGGACCACCGACCCTGGCTTCACGTCATATCTAGTCAAAGGAGAATGGGCCAAGGTTACAAAGCGTTGTGGCCTTGAAAATGCAGTACCCATCATGTGCACCACCCCAGATTCAGGGGAGCACTACGGTTTGATATCGGCCGGGGGGCGGTACTACTTCACGAACAATCTGTCCTGGACTATTCTCGAGATCCTAGAGCCGACGACTCTGGATGGGATTTTGAGGAAGATATTTGACGAGAATGAAAAATCAATCAAGATGAAGGCTCTGGAGGAAGTGGAGACGGAGGAGGATCTGGAGGAGGAGGAGGAGAAAGTGAGGGCAGAAATTGCGTTGATGGAGGAGATGAAGGCAGCACCGGGATATTTGGAGTGGGAGGAGATGGATTCGGACTAGGTGGAGGAGCTGAAGAACCGGTTGTTCCTTGCTGTTCAGGCTTATGAATTATGATCCAGATTGAGGTTACGAGTAACCCACCCCGAACTCCAGTATAATAACCACCAGTCCTCAAATCAATCCCCATTCGTTGCTCTCATTAAGGAACTGCGGAGCGGGTAAGTTTGTTGGCTGGGAGGATCCTCCTTGGAGCTGCCATCGTGATAGCCCCTGTAGAGCATCACATCTTTAGCAAGTCTGGTCCAGCCATAAACAACCATACGGATAATGATACGCGTGATAATCAGTAGCCATTCAAGGCCTAGTTTGAAAGTTCCTGGAGATCTTGCTGTGAAAAGTCTTTCATTGTTTGGTTGAACACACATTCGTCGCGATCTGTCCATCTTCTTGATAATGAACTACTTCAAGAAACTCCTCCAAAACATCAATGTATCATTTTAGAGGAATCCAGAGGCAAGTAGTTGAGCACCAGAGTCCATGTTGCACTGAGTTCTTGTGATTAACAGATAAAAGGATAGTAATTGCAAGCAGGAAATTTAATAGTGGAACTTCACTGCTGAATTTATAACTTGACTTATCTCTACTAGAGATGGGCGCAGGTAGGAGAAGAGAGGCACTAGCCGAGCATGTGGCCACAAACTAGCACGGCGGCACGACGGCCCAAGAAGATCTTCATACGGGTAGTGCCGTGGTCAAATTATCGACTATCAAGAAGTCTTTTAGACAGCAGGGCGCTCTCAAAAATGCCCATCAGCAACACCCTCTTAAGGGATGGTCTCAGTGATCTGCCTGGACAATACATCAGAGTAGATGTTAACATTCATTCTCATCAAGGCTTTGTCATAATCAGGATCTTTACTAACACTAGCTAGAACCCTTTGTGCTTAAACATATTTTTGTCTAGTATGTTCAAAGACAATTTCGGTGAAAGCCTAGCAGAAGATCGTCCAAGTTGGGTAAGTATATACCAGCAGTAACTATCTCTTCCAGTGTCAGAAGTGATATGTTTTATCTTCTTAATCCATGAAGTATAATGCTGCTTGTGAGGTCAATGGGCAAAAATCACCCCAGCCAGCTGTTGCATGTTTTCTCTTTCTTGCTTTTTTCCGTGTTACCCCTTTTGAGTGAACTCGCAGATTATATACCCGGTGGCCTTGTATCGACCTTGTGTGGCAGGTCTGTGGCTAATACCCTACACGTCATGCACCGCACGAGGAGCGCTGAGTAGTGGAAACAGGCTGCCAGTTTCCTGACTTCTACCTTACCCGTCTTTTGTATGCGGAATTGATAGGAGCAGCCCTTCAAGAGGCGTCCAAAAACAGACGTGAGAATATGATGAGGTGCTTGAGCGTCGTGCTGATCTAACTGAGGACGCCCTTTCCACATGGATCTGCAAAGTATGTACACGGGTGAGAGCGCTCTCGGGACTGGTATATACATGTGTCAGTCAGCTTAAGCATGCCTCGCGATTTTGCACACATGAGTTTTGAAGGCTCGATGAAGTCTCCGTAGGATGGCAGTATATTTGACTTTGGAGCCTGTGCTGATAGGACTGTGCTACCTCGGCCTTCATCAACAAGGCCTGACGGATACCCATGGTCTGACCAATATGATCGAGAGTATGCAACACCCATTCATGGAGGTCACTGGACACCCCAGTCGCAGTTGCAGCCACCACGAGGGGATACATCAACATGAAGACACCACTGAGTGGAGGCATTGCGTCGGTTCTGTTGAGGCTCAGATGATCTCTTCTACTGAGACTCATATAATCCAGGAACAGAGGCTGACTCGCGGCAGCTACGCAAATATCGGCGGCCATCTGAATGATTGTACAACTGGCTTGTGTCGTCCGTAGTATTTGCTCCACTCGGGTACCATATAGGGACGCGAGGCGTAATATCAGCTCATTCACCAGGAGGCGGCCCACGCGATAATGGATTAAAATGCGCGAAGCCCAGACGTCCTCATAAAGGTGGAAGCGACCATGGAAGTATTGCGAGGTATCTGCTGAAACTTTCTCTATGTAACCAAACTTTGCAGGAAGGCTAGTTGACCAGACCTCGAGTTGCATTTCGCAGGCCAGTGCCTCCGTCAAAGTGTTGCCTATTGGTTGATCATTGCGATCAGCGAGGCAGGCCCGCAGACGGATGAATTTAAGGAGTATCTCGATCAGTGAAACAGCAGGAAAGTCATCGTCAGCATCGACAGGTATATCAGGCGCCGACCAACTCTCTAACTCCAATGGGAAATGTCCTCCGGTCTGAAAGTATTTGAAAATCAAAGTAAGTGTGAACATAATATGAACACGATGGTTCTTGTTGAAGAATTTTCGCGGTGACCGACTCCGCAAGGCTGCTGCGCCTTGCAAATGCACAATCCATGATAGCTTTGACGTTGGGCTGGCGTCGACAATCTGTATTGACGGACGATCAGATCCATTGACCCCTGCAGGGGGATTGGTAGATGCCTACCTCGAATAGAGCCACCATCAAAATCATCTTCATGGTATCCTCCAGTGGGTAAGCCTTCTTAGATCGCAATGTGTTCTGGATTACTCTGATTGCTTGACCATACCGCCGGCGTGCTCCACGTAAGATCGCCTCATCCTTTCGAATATTCGAGAGAGCAGCTAAACCGACCGAAGCGACCGCACTTCTCAGCGTCTCATCTTCACTGATTCGGTGCATAAAAGGAGATGCAACGGTCTGAGGTGGGCATCGGCCGGCCCAGGCGTAAGTGGAGAAGTGATAGACGAAGAATTGGAGCCCAAGATTTTCCATGTCAAGGCATGGCAAGGTTGAGGGCAATGAGGTAGCCATGATAGTCCCATGACCAGACCTCATAAACTGCAAATCAGGTGAAGAAGCGGAATCGGATCCCGCATCCTTCCTTTGAGCTCTGGATCGAACGTTGGCAGCTGTAGCTCGTTTGATAGTGCGAGCATTCTCGTCTCGGAACAACAGAGGGAGCTCATCTCGGTAGCCCACACATTCCTTGCCAGCTCTTCTGCACTGGGAGCAGGCAGGGACGGCCATGTCACACTGTCAAGTCAGTATGGTTCCTTGCCCTGCTGCGAAAGATCGCCTACTTTGATGCGTCTCTGGCGGCACCCAAGACAGAATTTGCTCGGACGACAACAAAAAGGCATTTTTGCCGCTGCACGGTTGACGGACTGATGTACTCCCTATTAATTGCAAATGGTTGACGAGATTCGATCCGTATGTAGAAATGGGTTTAACTGGACAGTCTTAGAAGACGTGGATCGGCCAGTGTGGAAAAGATCGATCTAGGCCTATCGCTTGGGAGCCGCAGATGTCACGCTGTCAAGCGTCATCTTCAGCCACACACCGACTACCGGAAAGGAGACTCCTCTCCTTAGCTTGAATGTCGTAGATGATGACATGAAACATCTCCGTAGACAGAAACTGATGAAAGAGGCGATGCTGGCCCTAACCCTTTTAGGCAGTAGCCAGGCGCCCACCGCGCTTGCCAAATGAGGCAAGTATTTCGTGCTTGCTAACCCAACCAGGATAGTTGCTTGCGTACGATTGGCTCTCCAAGCGAAGTCCGCTGACTGAGATGGAAAACATGCCTTTTATTGGCTAGGGGACTGTCCTCTTTCAGTGCAGCTCTTGTCTCATCAAAACATATGAAGTTTAGGATTCTTCAAGGGAACAGACTTGGTTGCCAGATAGAGATCATAGCTGCCTAAAAATTGAAAAATGTGGCAGTGTCCCGAAATACTTTCCCCTTCTTCGGCACTACGCGTTTGTGTTCAACGGCGTCCGTTTCATAAGGGAGTTATTATATATATCTGAAGAAGACGCATTGTGGAACCCTAGGAACAACATAGACTATTCTCCCAAACTTTCAATTTTATAACGAATATTGCGTATTGCATCAATGCATTTGCCACGGGAATACAAAACGACCTATTACCAATACAGCCCTTCTTTAGGTGCCGCCATTCTCTTTGCAGTCTTGTACTCGGTCACCTTTGTCCTAGCTGTCTTTCAATGGATCCGATACAGAGCTTGGGTATGGATCATCATGGTTATTGCTGTAGCTAGTAAGTGCGTGCTTGGGATTACTGGCAACTATCACCACTGATATACCAAAGTGGAAGCAATAGGCTTCATTTCCCGGTCTATATCCGCCCAGCACGTCTCTGAACGCACCCCCTATGTGCTTCAATTCTCTCTCATCATCCTCGCGCCCGTGCTGATGGCCGCTTGCTGTTATATCCTCTTTGGTCGTATCCTCTTCCTCATCGTCCCAGCTGAAGAACGAACTTTTCAGCTCTGCTGGGTTCCTCCCCGGTTTATCACTCCAATCTTCGTGGGCTTTGATATTGTGGCCCTGCTGCTTCAGCTAGGCGGTGCAGTCTTGATCACATCTGCCGATGGTACCAGCAGTAATGCAAAGGACAAGTTCGACCATGGCCGCAACATTGCACTGGTTGGTGTCATAGTCCAGTTGATCGCGTTTGGGCTGTTCTCCATTGCTGCGTTTCGGTTCAACTTCACGTCGAAACGGTTCGCCAAGTCTGTCGGCGAGCAATTCGAAATGCTCGAGACCAGTGGCGCAAGATCCGGTGGCCCGAGGAAGAGCGACAACTGGAATGCTCTGCTGAGAGTAGTCAACTTATCTACCTTGATGATTCTGGTGAGTTTTTTTCGGACATTTCTTATCTCATGTTAGATAGATCACGACTGACTACTCTCCCGCAGATACGTTCCGTCTACCGTCTGGTTGAATTCACCGAAGGCAAGAACGGATATATCAATCTGCACGAGTGGTGCCTGTATGTCTTTGATGCACTGCCAATCTTCCCATGCGCGGCATTGTTCGTCTACTGGCATCCGGGGAAATACCTCCCATATCTTGGGTTTCGGCTGCCAAAGCATGCTCGGTAGATACTGCCTGACTCCATACCGTTGAAAGGAGGCTGGTTTCACAGAAGTGCTATCGGATGTGGTCAACTTGCATTTTGGAATATTTGTGAGATCTATCTAACGTTGTTATACTAGAGTAATATCTCGCAACTTCATATCATCTCCAGCTTGTTCTCCATTCATAATCCCATGCACATACGCTGCCCCAACCAAACGAAATACATCCTCGCTCTCAGTCCCTCTCAGCACCATTGCCGCCCCTGAGCCGGCCAAAAGCCACACCTCATCCCCAACTGCCATCGCGGCCGGTCCCAAGCCAAGGTGACGATTAGCAGTGACAAATAGCCTCCGTCGACCATGTTTCCGTCTCAATGCATTATAAAACTCCTGTCCCTCTCTAGGAAGCTGTAATGTCTCGCTCTCGTCCCAAGGCAGCCATGAGGAGCTGTAGTATGCTTTCTCAACCTCATCAATAGAGGGTGTAAAGCACTTGTCTTCAGCAATTCCAAGAAACTGCAACTTATACAACAAGTGAGTCAATGTTTGGCGATCCAGCTGACTGAGGTTCGTTTCCGGGTCTGCCACAGCACGCATGAGTTCCTCCAGAGACAATTCCGAGAGAGGGGGGCTCGACCAGGTCTTTCGAACATGGTACGAAGCTGAAAGGAGATCAACGACATTCTCTGGGTCCTCTTCTGAAGCACGGGCGGTTTCGGCAGCTTTGACACAGACGAGACTGCACACCATTGCTTTGAAACTGTTCCCGTAGGACGAAGGAGCTGGCATTGAGCCATCAAGCGCCTGGTCGGCGCAGAGAGTGCGCCACAACGCCTCTGTTCTCGTTTCGCCCGTGTGGTATGGGACAGGGAGAAGCAAAGCAAGTTCCAGCCACCTTTGATCAAAGAACATGGACATCTGGCCAGGTCCGCTGGTCGTGTTTCCTATCGCGAGAACCGAGTCAAACTTGACACCAGCCACAGGAAGTTTGTTCCACGAGGTACCAATGATGGATCTCATGGGCGTATCCCCAGCGGCATGATGATTGGCGCACATCATGTTGCAGAAGTTCGTGCTGTAATCCGGTACCCAAGAGGGTAGATCCGTGATATTTCGGAGGGACTCATCGTGGACGGCGGAGAGAATGCGCAACTCGCCTGCCTTCTGGATAATCTCCTTCGTCGCTCGGGCGAACACCTCTCCTACGGACTGAGAGTAGTCCGGCTGCCAATCGACAGTTCCACCCTCACGGAGAAGACCGTAAAGCCCGAAGATTTTATCCCGAGGATCGGTTGCGTTGAAGGTCCAGGTGTCGAAGATGAGATTCTCCAGCGACGGCTCTCGAGGAACGGTGGCCTTGTTGCCCTTCTGCAACCGCTCCCGCCACTGAGTGAGATATACCACCTCGCTTTCAAGAGCTGACACTGGCCGATGCGGTGCAATAAACGCAGTTGATGTCGGTCGACCCAGCAACTCTTGTCTAAAGTAGATCTGCTGTGCCACAGTGTGGAATGCTTTCCACGGGATCTCGTGACTCCCGCAGTAGCCCATGATGATGTCCGAGAGGATGCTCTCCTGGACGATCCAGAGGCGCCGGAAGTAGGGACGCAGGAAGAGGGCCGCGAATGAAGTCCACTCTTCGATCGAAACATAGGGGATCCTTGCAGCAGCGTAGACCTCTTCGGGTTGCTCCCTGTATGGTTGTATCTCCGTACTTCGGATGAAGTCTCCTGCCGCGGTATCCAGTTTCTCGATGGCCTTGATCGCCATATCGGTGTAGGAATCTTCAGGCCCGAGCCATACAAGCGTAAACGATGCGTTCTTGTATATCTGATCCATGATCGCAACTTGCGCTCCTCTTTCCGCAATATCATTCTGGTTGATACAAATCTGGTCAATCCAGCACCATCTCTCGGGACCTTCGGGCCAATCCACTCGCGCCTCGATTCTTCCTCCTTTCTGCTCGACCTCCTCCAGACACCGGATAATCTCTTTATAGTCACCTTGCCGCGCATAGTCAAGCGGAGTTTTACCCTGATTATCCGCAATGCGCGCATCCGCACCAGCAGAAAGCAACAGCTTGACCCCCTCGCAACTGCCCACCTGCGCCGCGTAACTCAATGGCGTAACCTCCCATTCATCCCTGACGTTAACATCCACACCAGAACACAAAAGCGGCTGAATCAGTTCCTGCTTCCCGGCAATAGACGCCCAATGAAGCGATGTCCGGAGGAGTTTCCTTCGGTTACCTCGGTTGCAGAATTTCGCCCATGCGTCTCTGGGAACGGAAACGAGCGCGTCGTGCGCACTTCGAGTGACATATAACAACCTTCCGTTGACAAATATACACTCTCTGTGCTCTGGAGGATAGATCTCTGAATACCTGTCACGGGTTGCCTGGACCTGGGCGAGTTCGCTGTGCGGGTTTCCCCAGGTGTAAGACATGGCATGGTACAAGGGCGCATCATTCAGATTGACTGTTTTGATGGTGCAATGTAGCACGCCATCGGGGTCTTTATGGTCGACTCGTAGGAGTCGGATTGATGTGGGGTTCAGCAGGGGCTCATAATCAAATGTTCGATTGGTCTGGGGAGTGATGCGAGACATCCTATTCCAGCCGGTGATGGCGTCGCTTACTTCTGGACTGCTTTTTGACTAGATGTCACTATCATTCTCAACTACCAAATATGCGTTGAGGGGAAAGAGACCCAGGTCTGAAGGCTGGGCGGAATACGAGATTCAAGATCCAAGCGAGACATCTAGACCCCTCTTGGTTTAGACGCTTTCTCTTGTTGATAGTGGGACAGTTACTGTTCCGAGCTTGTTCTCACAGAGCTATTCTCAAGTATTCGATACGAAATGAGGTTGGATTTTTTGGGTTATGTGAGGGAGCCAGTACGTGGCCCCAAAGTCTTGACTACTAGCTGGTTAAGGGATTATTTTTCTATCTTCACCGTCTCCGATGGATACTGTATAGGAATTGCTGTTTATGCTATGTCTTCATATACCAAAAACACAGCTTTGCGATACGAGGGAGGGCAGAGATTCCGTCTTTTAGTAGTCATGCTTCTACAGGGACCACTATAGAATTCTCCCCGACCACAAGATCGATTCTTAGATTTTGTCAAGGTATTTGGTGACCAGCGAAGCAAAAATCCACATTGGGCCATAGAAACCAAACGATCGCAATACTCGGGAAACCCATCATTCTACTTTCATCACCTCGAACTAGCTCGTATGCCCTCAGTAAAATCCTCCATGCCAAAGAGAAAGCTATCGCAATCAAACCCTAAATCCTGGAATATGTTATCGAACAGGGACCCAGATGTCGCCTCAAGCGGCATCTCCCTAATTCCGTCCGGAGTGGGATATTGCGTCTCCAGAATTCTCGCCGAGAGCAGTTCAAAGGTCCGGATGCACTGTTGAACATACACACTCAAATGTTCATGTGCGTGGAGGGTCGACAGGACGTCTTTCCAAGATTGCGACACCGACGTGGTGAACAGGTCCGCTTCGAACATGGCCGCCAAAAAGTTGGTCCCTGCGATGTGTAGATAGTAGATTCGATACCACCATGGCAGGAGACCCATTGGTTCGTTTGGCTCCAGTGTCTCGATGATCAAGGAGGTGAGCTTCTGCGCGGCTTCCAGGCACATTGCGGCGCATTCTCTGAGAAGCCGATCGCTTAAGCTTGGAGGGTTGGATTGTGCCTGGATTGGTGCGGGGTGGGATTTCAGAGAGTAGAGACGTGCGAGCATGGGTCTGTACAGGACGATTCGAGAGTGAAGGAGACTAATTCCGGTGTTAGAAAGGTAAGGACCGAGATATGGTAAAAGGGAAGGATCCACGCCCTTTGCTTCCAAACGAAGGAGGAATCAGGTGCATACCGAAGATGAAGTAAGTATCGCTCCGCTCGTGACGTCCTGTCAACAACCTTATTCAGATTTTCCAACTTCCAGTCGCTGTGGAGACCATTCTCCCATTTGTTGAGACAGGCGTCTAGCTGCACCGCCACGGCGTGGTAGTCGTCCTGTTGATATAGACGAGGTAGTCCCAACCTGGCAGCGAGAGCATTCCGAGTCTGTGTCTGTGCCAACTGAATCTGATTACCAATCTCATGAAGCTCCCGTGAAAGATGCTCCGCATGCCTACCGCCCTGTAGGTAGCTCCCGCTTGTAGACATGGCCTCGGCCCTATTCGGTAAGGGGATCAAGGACGGCGCCGATGTCCGGCCGAGTGACCACGAAACGCATCTGGCGGAGTCAGTGATGGCACGAAACCAAATTTGTTAATGTCTGTGGGAGTTACCGGTCCAGGGCCACACAACTAGCCCATACATGTTGTTTCAACTGCCTATCATTGCAGGACTGTTTGTCTGAGGATCCCTCGGGGAGATGGCAACACATACTCTGCGCAATCCGGATTGCCAACCCCGCTGTCATCCATGTCTTCAGTTGGTTGCTGGTGCAGTGGAGGTATCGATTCATAAGCATCAAACACTGGACCAGCTCGAGCGTCCCAGGCTTCCATAAGATTGTCTCGGGCCGCAGAAGAGCCCACGCGCGCTGGAAAAAGCGATTCCCTTCTTCGTCGCGTTGTTGCCGAGGGATGGATTCTTGTCTCTGCACTGCCAGTGCAAAGACGACATTGAGTATGCTGAGCCAGACGTCACGGTCCGCATGGAGAGGTGCACCAGGTCGGGAGTACGTTGCCTCATAGTCGTGTAAGAAGCGTTCTCGGCTCAAGACCGGCTCCACGGGATCGACGTATTGCCAGTATATACAGACAAGTCTATCCGCATGAGCGCGGAGAGGCAATTCCGTGGCCCAGTTGAGAACACTACAGGGAGAGTGCAGGTCTAACACCCCAAACAAGGGCGCATCCACGAATGGGACAAGGTTCGAAGTAGCGGCCGGGACGAGCCCTGCTCTCACGTCTATTGCGGCTGCGACTTCACCAGCAAACTGCCCATGGGTGCTGTAGTACGCCCGGTTTTGATCCCGGTCAAGCTCCTGCTCTTGGTCTTCATCGACATGTTCCGATCTGGAGAGAGGTCCAGTCGTCGATGGAGTCGCATGCGAACAAGCTCCCAAGTTTGGAGACGAGGCCGCGAAAGGAATGTGACGGCCGATTGTTGGTGCCTTTGGGACAAGGGGCTTGCGTTTTGTTTGTCGCTCGATGGCGCCGGAATCAATGCTGTACGTACATGGCTTTCCTCGTCGCAGGCACCTAGTACAAGCTGCGTACGACATTGTCAGCCAGCCTTATAGCAGGACACTATGAATGGGTAACGAGAATACCTGGACGACCGCCGTCGCATTTCGACTTCCTTATCCGACAAGCTTGGCAAGCGATAGAGATTTTCAACCGCTCCCTGCGTAACGGTTTCGATGTGATTTCTTGATGGTTCCTCATATTGCGAGACTTATTCGATACATCAACTTCACCAGTTGCCCTCATTCCACAACTAAAGCATTAGAGCAATGGAGTTGGAGATGGTCCGCACTGCAGACAACACGAAGACAACGCCTTGAACTGAACTAATTTCCAATCATATTATGATCCGCTCACTCAGATCCCCATAGCGGAAAGATATATGATTGGCTCGAGCGGATGTCTTGAATATCAGCCAGTCAGCTTTGCTTCCGCGCATTGCATAGTGCAAGCATAACCGCCAATGAAACGCAGGTCCGCCTCTGGATGTTCTTTGAGACTGTCAACATCAGATATAAATCAAAGACCAGAGCAATCTACAGGCTGAACATGTTGCGAGCTTATTATCACTTATTACTTCCCCGATTCCTTTCATACACCTTGACTTCCCAAGTGTTGGAAGTATGTCTCAACAAGCCGAAATTAAGATAGCAGCGGATCCTGAGGTGCAGCAAACCCACATCTATGATGGTCAAGGCACCCAAGAAGACCCTTTCATAGTTGAATTTCAAAAGGATGATCCAGGAAACCCGATGAACTGGTCTCAACTTAGAAAATGGTTCATCACGGCGATTGTGACCTTCTCCGTCTTTGCCATCACCTTCACATCTTCAGCATACTCTGCTTCCGCAAACGAGCTCATTCCAGACTTCAACATTAGCACAGAGGTGTTCACAGTTGGCCTCTCCCTCTTTGTTCTTGGGTTTGCAATTGGTCCAGCAGTATGGGGTCCCTTGGTAAGCACAGCCTCTATTTGAAGCTCTGAATACACAGCTGACAGTCTGTTCTTTTTAGTAAGTCTCTTTCATCTCATATATAGATGTCTTTCAAACCCTAACCGTGCCTTGTAGATCTGAACTATACGGAAGACAAGCTCTCTGGATCGTCTCTCACATCGCCATGGTGGCCTTCACCGGTGGTTCCGCTGGAAGCCGCAACGTTGCCACCCTCCTCGTGTTGCGATTCTTCAGCGGCACATTCGGCGGCTCACCGTTAGTCAACTCGGGTGGTGCTATCGCAGATCTCTTCCCCCCTGCTCAGAGAGGCCTCGCCATGACACTGTACTGTGTCGCGCCCTTCCTTGGTCCCATCCTTGGCCCGATCGTTGGCGGATTCGTCTCTGAAAACGTTGGATGGAGATGGGTCCAGGGGGTGTGCTGTATCTTTATCGGAGTGATAGGTATCATCGGCGTCATCTTTGTCCCGGAGACTTATGGGCCAGTGTTGTTGATCAGGAGGGCAAACCAACTGTCTAAGGCCAATAGTAAGGTGTACATCAGTGTTCTTGAAAAGAACCAAGGCAAGAAGAAGCCGTCGGAGGTCTTCCAGCGGGCTCTGATACGGCCCTGGGTTCTGCTCTTCCGGGAACCCATCGTGCTGGTTGCCTCGCTCTACATGGCCATTATCTACGGCACGGTCTACATGTTCATGAGCGCCATGCCCATCGTCTACAACGAACAACGCGGCTGGAGCGAGGGCATCGGCGGCCTCGCCTTCATGGGTATCGCAGTCGGTATCATCCTCGGACTAGTCTACGCCATCTACGATAACAACAGACGATACACGAAACTACTGCTATCGAAATCAGCAACTGCCGAATCCCGGCTCCCACCAGCCATCGTCGGTGCTGTCGCCCTACCCGTCGGCATGTTCGCCTTCGCCTGGACCAATTACCCCCGCATCCACTGGTCCGTCAGCATCATCCTTTCAGCGCCCTTCGGGTTCGGCTGCGTCCTCGTCATCCTGCCGATCGTCAACTACCTGATCGACGCGTACACCATCTACGCGGCCTCTGTTCTTGCCGCCGCAGCCATCTTCCGGTCGATCGTCGGGGCTGTGTTTCCCTTGTTTACGACCCAGATGTATGACAGTCTCGGGATTCACTGGGCGAGCTCTCTGCCCGCCTTTTTGACGTTAGCGTGCATGCCGTTCCCGTTCGTCATGTATCGTTACGGTGGGGCGCTGCGGATGAAGTGCAAATATGCGTTCGAGGCTGCAGAGATGATGAGGCGGATGCAGATGCAGCAAGCACCTGCCCCGGCTAAGGAGGAGGAGGACTCCCCTTCCGAGTGAGGAAGGATGGATTTGGGCTCGAAGTGTGTCAGCAACAGTTATGGAAGTGGCCTCGTTGTTGCGTGTGCGTGGTCAGAGAACATATTCGTGAACTATGGATGGAAATAGACTGGATTTATATGTCATCTAAGCTGCAGAAAACATCGCCAGTATTAACAACCGTGTTGACCGTAGTATATCAGTCACAGCTGTGTGAATAGCATTCTTAGATAGAGAGACTAGGGACCAACAACGGACAATTCACTCGCTTCCAGCAATCGATTCTATTTTGTTATTTCACTGGTTTGACATGTACAGTTTCTTGAATGCCGTGCTAAGTCTATCTAGAGCTAAAGGAATAGGTTAAAAAATCAAGCATTAAATATATACACGACTGTCCAAGGGGAAACCCATCATATACAGGACTGGTGCTGGTGCCGTGATAGCGACCGACCGAGGTAAGATGCCTACCGACTCACTCCAAATTTCCTCGCTATTTCCGCCTCGGTAAACCTCCTCGTCTTGGTCTGTAGCATGGCGGCTCTCTCCTCGATCGACATGGAAATCTGGTCGCCCATCGGAACCAGACACTTGGCCAGATGCATATAGTCCTTCCGGATGAGCCGGTAGGAGATCATCAGATAGTCGATATTACGGAATACCAGCGCATGCTCGCTTGCATAGCGGTCCTTTTGCTTGAGAAACGCCACCGGGTGCTCGCGCCAGTGACGGCGGGGATTGAGATGGTGAGACGTGTGGTAGCCGTCGTTGAAGCAGAAGCGGTTACTCTGCTATTGTTAGCTGCAGTAGTCAAAGGGGAGGCAGGCAATCGTACCGGAACATCAATCAGGGTGATACTGGACCTAAAATCCGAGTTTGGGTCTGTCTCGTCAACAAAGGCGTGCTGCCCCCAGTTGCCGACCATCAAGCCCAATCTGAGGAGGAACAAGGGAAGGATGAAAACGAAGAGCGTTGCATGAGCATTCACAAAGCGATACATCCCGTAGATAAAGAGGTAGTTTCCTATCTCCCAGAAACCCGCCTTGAGACCTTGGAGGAACTGGCCTTTTCGGAAGAAGTAGCTCGGAAGCTCAAACCACACGAGGAATAAAAATCGGCCGACATAGCAGAGAAAGTCGGACAGCTCGTCTCGTTGATACCTGACTGTCGAGGATAAGTCATCGGGACCATTCCCTTCGACGTGATGATGCTTGACGTGATGATAGTAGTACGAGTTCCACGTATGTCCCATGAGCGGATTGGTGATGTAGGGAAAGACCGAGTCAAACAGCCAGAAGCTCTTGGCTAGGATCCCGCCCATGTGGATGTGCTGGTGCATCATGAGCGTGTAGGATCCCACGTAGTACGACTGCATGATCCAGTGAAGGACGCCATGGACCCAAGTGAAGTGATAATACAGGTAGAGCGCACTGGGGACGGACGTGGTAAAGTACAGGATGAGATGCGTGAGCATCACGACATCGGTTTCCACCCGGACAACTCTTCGTCCCAGCTTGATATACGGCTGGAGGAGCCAATGGCTAAGAGCAGACGGGAGTTTGGCCTTGAGATCAGCAGTGTCCCAGGTCATGGTGACGGTAGGCTCAAAGTCGACATGCTGAGGATTGTTGAAGGCTTCCAGTTGCTCAGGGACAGATTTGTATTGCGAGTTGTTTTGGGATGGGACATATTTGAGGGTCTCAGCGGATCATGATTTCGAACATGGAAAGGGAATGTCTACCTTGAACGACGGATCTCGAGCCGGATGATTGTGCCTGACTGTCCGAGAGCAAAGTTTGCAGAACCAGGAGGTCCGACCGAGTCAGATTCGGGTCAATGTAGCTGTCGGGTTCCATCGTGACCCGTTGACCGGCAACGCTCGATATGATTTAGGATCGGGTTGTGGTTTGTAAAAAGGAAGCCTTGGCTCTTTTGACTTCGTCAGAGAGAACGCGGATAGCAATTTTCAGAGAAAGTGAAAAGGAGACGGAGTGGGTCTTGCTGATAGACGCCATTGAGCGCCGACCGAGCACGGATTGAGCTTATCCGGGAGAGCTTTGCTCTATTAATATCCGTGGATTGTCCTTTTGATGAAGAAATTGCAGAGGAAGTGAGCTTGACTGGAGAGTCTGGATGATAATACTAGACAGAGTGTACTGCGTAGGAGAGAGTGAAAGCGGCAAACACGTCAGCCTACGCCAAGAGCTATCAGCATGTATCGTATGTCGAGTCAACACTAATTCAATACCGGATGCAGAGCACATTAATCATGATTTGATACTAACTTAATGGGTCGGGATAAATAATCTCTCTCCTGTCATTGACATCATGACATCTGAATTCCAGGAATGTTCCGACGGAATGATGGATATTCCCCTGGCAATACCACCACGTGATGGACTGGCGACCCCTACAAATTCGTGGAATGATCGAGATTTCCCCTTGAAAACTGAGCCCTGTTCCTACTGACTAAGGAGATTCTTGGGAAAACATTCGAAAGGATTAAAAAGAGACCAAAAGACACCTTTCAGCCCTCAATGTCTCCTGATAACTGGCCAATCACAGCCTGTCGTTATGAATGAGTGGAATTCTACTATGATCGATCGAGATTAGGGCTTCCACTTGGCTCAATCTGGTAAAACTCGAAAAGATCCAACCAGAGATTCAGGGGAATTTCCCTGTTGAGCTTTTTTTGATGGCTGACTTTTTTTCTGGGTAGACTAGTTGTGGATTGGGTATGGGTTGAACCACCACCTAAAATCCCTCATATCCATGCCGGTTGGACTGCGGATAATGGATATCTAGGTACTATTATACAATCGTTGCATTCCATTTACCATCTTGTTTAAGTATTATACCTCAACCCCTAGGGTATCTATAGGTTTTATTGAATATATAATAATTAATTAATCAAATGATGTATATCATCTATTAAATAAGCTAAAATAAGTTTAATTAGGGGTAGACGTGCCCCCCTAAGGTTAGGATGAAAGTGGTACAGATATACAAACATCTTACTACCACCGTCCTAATCACCATCGTCTAAAATGTAAAATCTACCATAACTCTAGTTTTTCTTAGTGAATCTAGTATTTCATATAGAGGAATATGTACACGTATATGCCTACATCTGGGTGGATAAGCTTATCTATATCTCTGCAGGTTAGATATGGTTCACCGATTTGGCTTCGGGTCGGATCAGGGCCAACCCAGATCCACCTATTTTGCGGATTGGATGGGCTGGATCGCGATTTTGCGGATGGGGTCAGCCGGTCTACGTCTCGAGTTGAGAAGTTCCGAGATCAATATGTTGGCCTCAGGCCATGTGACAGCCATGGGCTCCTATCGGTCCCTACAATCCTGACTCTGCTAATGTGATCCATGCCTGCCCGATCCGGCAATGCTCGGTTGAGAATAGTCCTGTTTGGGTATATTGCACAAGTTGCAGCGTGTTGATAAGATGTGTAGTTTCAACTACCTTAATCTGATTTCTTTGCATCTACATCGTGGCAAAGTGTGCTTGATCAAGGGACTTTTAATATAGATACGCCGCGGTCGGATCGATAGTTGCTCTTCTTTTGCACTTAGAGGGCAGAATAGATATATCAAGCACCTGTCAGAACGACCAGAAAGGATTTAGATTTTCTTCTGAATCCCCCAAGGACAAACATCGCACTCAAAGAGTAGGACTGCCATATCTGGTCGAGCATGTAGGAGTATCAACCACCAAATGACCTTGCCCGATTCATTGACTTATCAGTATAGTGATTATGGCCATTGTCCGGGTATATATGCCACAATTGTTAAACAGTGTCAGGGAATACAGCGTCATGCCGGTAAGAGAGCGTGGCGAAGGTGGTCGTCTGTATGTGATAGATGATATCTTTCTCACCGATCTCTGTGACACCAGCTTCTTTGAGACGACAGAACCTTCGTACATGCCATGAATCAATTCTTAATCCCCACGGCATGGATCATGAGTCGATGGTTCCATGAATGTCTTCGTGGTTCGAGCACACTTCCTCTTCCTGCCTCTGAATGGGATGGGCCTCTGCTGCCTATGCCACTTGGGTGCAAGGAGCCTGTTCAAGTATTGCAATCAGTAGACCTATTTCCTGCCCATTTTAATGGCGTCATGTTTGTGCTAAGGCCGCGGGCATCAGTTGAGCGTCTTAGGTTTTTGAGACTTGACTGTTTCAGGGACTACCCAAATTAAACCAAATTCGATTCGAAAGAATATCCGAATGACAGGTTAGAAAGGAAAGCACATCAGATTGTCGAAACATGCATACGGACGATCCCTTCCAGTCGCATATCTGCATTTTCGGAGTTGCCTCTAGAAATGATTGATGTGGTTAGTCTATTTGACCATAAAATATAAAGCAGTATTCGTATTTGCACTAGCTATCTCGGTGCAGCGAATGTAGGCGCTCGTAATTTAAAACCTGACATACATGCAATGAACATCATTGGCGACAAATGGTTGCTGATTTTGTCAAGCTTCGTGCTGCCGATCCGAACTGCCGAGCATTGTTCACTCTCAATATTAACTGATCTGGGAATCCAGTCAGTGGCATTTCCTTTGCACTACAATCTAGAGCATGTGCAACTCCGTCCACAAAATTTATTGCCGGATGTCATTATTGTACCACATAGTAGGTGACAGATGACAGGAGAACCACTTCTCTACTGAACTAGATGTGTCTGAGTCTGACTTAGCAAGCCTTCTCTCCACACAAAGTGCCCAAGGATCACTGTCTGATGGAAGCTGACTGCCTGTGATCAGCTACCTATCCTCTCCTTGATTAAACATTGGAAGTAGTCTTGCCGGAAAAGGACACCGTAGCCACATCATGTTAAATTAAGAGGGGACCAGCATCGCCTGATATTCCCTGCGCTAGTGTTCTTCCAACACGGAGTTCGGCAGCCGACATTCACTGTAATATCTTGTGTACAGCAACCTGGTAGGTGGTGCAGACAATAAATTTCCTTTTTAATGGTGCTACTGATTTGTTGATGAAAAATTATTATCTGTGCTATTCAAATAGGCAGGGTCGACAAACTGTATGTTGGAAAGCCATCCTGCTGCTTCGTGACAGACCTTGTTTTGCCTAAACTGGTCTAAATCGTCCTCAGATTCCGTGACCTGGATGATGTGCATCGCATTACGGCATCCAGCCAACAAGGATCCCTACAGGTAAGAATTTGCAGGATCTGTCTAGCATGGCATACCGGGCCGCAGAACCGGCACCTGCAGAACTATACCCCTAAATCGGCAATTGAGAATCAAGGAGTGTAAATCCATGCCTAAAGACGACATGCAGCGAAATGTTGCAGACGCGGGGAAAATGACGCTAAGCATTTTCACAGGCGAATCTGAAACCCCCGCGTCCGGTTTGGACGTGAGGTTAATATCAATTATGTGGTATGTTCCCCGCAAAGTGCAGCCTCCGAGGGCTCATGTGGCTGCTGTCGGGAGTTGTAATTGGCGCTTCTACAGGGTCATCGACTGCCGGAAGAAAGCAGGAACAGGATCATTTCACTGCAGGAAATGAAGGATCAGGATCTTAGGGAGTTGGCTGAAGAAATGCGATTATGCAGGACTTTCCTTGAATGCTGCCATGCAATTTTCGCTTACCCTTTTCGGTCGTATATGAGGTCCTACTGACTTTGGGTCTACCACACTTTCATCACGGGCACTAGGCTTTTGCTTCGGTTTGATTTGTACCCATAAAGCATTCCTGAGGCTAAATTGCATTCTTGAACGGATGATATGCGACTGTGTGTACCTGGTACCCTCCGGAAAGCCGGCGATGGTTCCGACTAAGATATGTGACAGAGGGGTATAAAACATCCTCCGGACCTCCATTGACGTCGAGTCCTTTCTGATAGTCATTCCCTCAACTCAGTCTTGAGGATTTCACTATATACGCCGTCAAGATGAAGCACCTTGCATCTTCCATCGCATTAGCTCTACTGTTGCCAGCAGTGCAGGCCCAGCAGACTGTATGGGGGCAATGTATGCTTTGATTATCACTGAAATAAGGCCCAATCAAATGCTGATATGCTCTAGGTGGCGGTCAAGGCTGGTCTGGCCCGACAAACTGTGTCGCTGGTGCGGCCTGTAGCACCCTGAATCCCTGTATGTTCGATATCGTCCTCTGTAGAGATTATACTGACTTCCCCAGACTACGCCCAGTGTATCCCCGGGGCCACCGCGACCACCACCACCACCACGCTCTCGACGACGACCAAGGCCACCACCACCACCACCACCGCACCTACGACGACTGGTCCTACTACATCCGCACCCACCGCGACCGCATCTGGTAACCCCTTCAGCGGCTACCAGCTATATGCCAACCCCTACTACTCCTCCGAGGTCCAATCTCTGGCCATCCCTTCTCTGCCCAGCTCGCTCCAGCCCAAGGCTAGTGCCGTCGCTAAAGTGCCCTCGTTTGTCTGGCTGTAAGTCGTTTTCTTATCCCAATACTCAGAGCTATCCGTGACAGTTGTAGCGACGTTGCCGCCAAGGTGCCCACAATGGGAACCTACTTGGCCGACATTCAGGCCAAGAACAAGGCTGGCGCCAACCCTCCTATCGCCGGTATTTTTGTGGTCTACGACCTGCCGGACCGTGACTGCGCTGCTTTGGCCAGTAATGGCGAGTACTCGATTGCCAACAACGGTGTGGCCAACTACAAGGCGTACATTGACGCCATCCGTGCTCAGCTGGTGAAGTACTCTGACGTTCACACCATCCTCGTCATTGGTAGGTCATATACTTCCCTTGCGCTCGGCTCTTCTCTGACGTGTTGCAGAACCCGACAGCTTGGCCAACCTGGTGACCAACCTC